AAAAGACTGTGTAATCACCTTACTTAAATAATTAGAAATTATCTTTCACTTAATTTTAGAAAGCTAGATGTGATCTTTTAAAATGTATAAACACCTGTTTATTTCTCCTGTGAGCTTTTTATGTGTTTTTGTATGCGCTGTGTGCCAGAGTACAGAGGTTTTTGGTTTGATTTGTTATATTTCACTTTTTTTAATTTGGAAAAGAAAGACACCTTCTCTTCCCCCAATAAAATAATTTTGATAATTCCATTATTTTAATATGATACAAATAAATAAAAGTATCTGTCACTGCCCCTCAAAACTCCCCTCCCCTGAGCTTCTTTTAACAGAACAGTGAATAGTCTTTCACATTTTTTCCCTATGATTTTATAGACATAGCCATCTGTATACCTTAAACGTTGTTTTTTTTTTAAAGATAGAAGGCTCATGATTTACTTCCTGGGTCCTGGCTTGTAGCCAAGGCATTTTTAATAGTAGAGGTGAATGTTTTAAGCATCCAGCTTATCTAGATTTAAATGTCTAGATGTGCTGCTGTGATGGGTTTTTGTGGTTTGTTTCCCCAAAAAGGTCAGGCAGTTTGTAAAACCTCAGTGAACAGTGAACACAAAGTAGTTTGCCACCCTGTGGTCACTTCTAACCTTTTGTCACTTCTAGTTACACATTTCACATAATTATTATCATTGACTTCATATTGTTTTGTTCTCTGCATTTTTCAGTGAACTCATATCAAATACTATTTCATCCGCCTTTTTTATTGTTTTCTTTTTAGCCATTCCTCTTGTGTTGAGTAGTTTGGTTCTTAAGCTTTCACTATGAATTCTACTACTTTGGTATTGCTTTATCATAGGTCATACAATTGACTTATATCATGTTATCATGTTATATTGTAAAGAGAGAAAAGAGGTACAGGAGGACTCAATATGGAACCATTTAAGGGGATACAGTACAGGTGAAGTAGAAAGTGTTTGGAGTCAGTGAGACCTGGTGCTTCTTGTCTGTTTGTTTGTGGCAATTATGGAGCTAACTCCTCCTACCTTGCAATTTGTGCTTATAGTGTTGTCTTATTTTTCTCACCATAAGTTTTCGTTCCTGTGATTTTTTTCCATAAAAGGCTTCCTAAATTTTGAGAACATACTTTGTACCAGGCACTTTGTAGGAATTAGGGATGTTGAAGGAGGAGAAAAAAGCCCCTCCCTTCAAGGAGCATACACTTATTTAGTGCAGAAATCTCCAAGTTTGTTTGATTGTGTATCTGTCAGTAGCATATTTATGAGTGATACTATATGTATAAATGCTTATAAATTTTATGTGTACTAGTCTCAGTCTATGTATTAAATATTAGTAAAATGTAATTTCTTACTTGAAATAAAAAATACAAATGTAGTTATGTGTATAGAGTTTTTAAAGTGTTTCTGTTGATGATCACTTAAATGTAAAGACCACAGTAGTAACTTCTGTCCTGAGCTAGCCATTACATATTGAATATCTGTTGTCTACATTCTTTATCACCGTAGTTCCAGGTGCTCTTTCAGCTCCAAGAAGAGGGCGCGGGGGTCATCGTGGTGGCAGGGGAAGATTTGGTATTCGGCGAGATGGTCCGATGAAATTTGAGAAAGACTTTGACTTTGAAAGTGCAAATGCACAATTTAACAAGGAAGAAATTGACAGAGAGTTTCATAGTAAACTTAAATTAAAAGGTAAGGTTTGGGTTTTGTCCTCAGAAAATCATCTTTTTTGACCAGTGAATTATTTTTCTGATTAGGTGTTTAGTTTTATTTAGTACAAGTCTTGATGTTAATGATGTGTGCTTATTTTCCATTAGAAGATAAACTTGAGAAGCAGGAGAAGCCTGTAAATGGTGAAGATAAAGGAGACTCAGGAGTGGATACCCAAAACAGTGAAGGAAATGCTGATGAGGAAGATCCACTTGGACCTAATTGCTATTATGACAAAACTAAATCCTTCTTTGATAATATTTCTTGTGATGATAATAGGTACAGTCTTTTAAGCTGCTCTTATGCTTACAGTGTTGAAGTGTAAAATGGTTTAGTTTCTTGTAAATTCACAAGGTTTAATGAATGCTTAAAAATACCTAAGGACCACAGTTAATTTTTTAATGTTTTATTTTGCTAAAAGAAAATAATATATACTATAATATAAAATATTTTTCCTTGAAAAGAAGAAATAACCATGTATTTTGTTTAAGGGTGCATTCACATTTGAACAACTAGTAATTAAAACAGAAGCATTCATCTAACATCTCAGACCTTTTCCTTTACCCCTCTATGTTGTAGTTCATTTGAAGCCAGGGCCAGAGTGCTAATATTTCTGAGGAATTTGCTGATAGAGTCAAGCTCTGCTGTATTGAAGTAAATGTGGCTTCAGAAAATTGTCAGCTTGTTATGAGGTTAATGAAAGAACCCAGCATAGCAAGTTCAGCGTTACAGAAGTTCTGCTGCCGAATCC